CAGTATTAATTACACCAAATCATTAATAGCAGTTATTGTGTTTTTATTAGAATAATAATAATAATGTAACCTCATAAGTACTTGCTTCCATGACCAAGTGTTCTTCTGTTTGAAAACAGGGAACTGGAAGAATTGGAACCAGATGGAGGGAAAGTGGTTTTTAAGTTAGAATTCAGGGTTGGTGGAATTCTTGTTTGTAGAGCACTTGCCAAGTATGTATGAAGTGCTGGGTTCAATCCCCAGCACTGGGAGTGGAGGAAAATCAAGCAACAGTAGTCCTGTCCCCTTCCCCCAACCCCCAGAGAAGCAGCCTCAGCCTCACTGCCCTCAGGAGGAGGAGGAGGATAGTAGCACAGAAGCCTTCCCTAATCCCTTACAATTCTAAGTATGTTTTCATATAGTTTTTTTTTCTTGTCTCCTCACAGCAAACTTGTGATTTTTAGATAAGGAAACTGAGGCCTAGAGAGAATTAAATTGGCTTGCCCCAAATCACACAGCTAGCAGGAAAAGGATTCTGGTTTTCATAACACAAATGAAAAAAATCACCTTCCTATTTTTAGGCTTTTTATTCCTCATTTTATTTTATAATGGGTCACCATGACTAGATGCAAAATTAATGGCACTAGGGTTGACTTCTCTTAATCCTTAGCAGTGTCATTACTTTTCCACTATGTTTTTAGTTATCTGATTTCTGTTTTTAACAATGGAATATCGAAGAAACAAAAGCAAAAAATTTTTAAAAATATTTTCTTAGATGTTGATGGACTTTAATTTTATTCATTTTTATTTATTTATACACAGTGCTGAGAATCGAACCCAGTGCCTCAGACATGCTAGGCAAGAGCTCTACCACTAAGCCGCAAAAGCAAAATGTTTTGTTTCACTTAAGAGTTTAAAACTAGACCAGCCAAACAGATTTGTCAGGGAATCCATGTTGGAATAAATCAGAAATGATAACCATCACCAAGGGATATAGAAATCAAGTCATTCCCTGAGCAGGAAGAAGACAGAGATGGCAGCCTCTAAGTAAGATTCAGTTACAGCAAGCCTCCAAAGTGCACCCTGAGCATGAAATCTCTTCCTAATTACGCCTCTGATGCACATGCTATGCCACCTGTACAGTGCCTCTGTATTTCTTATTCCTTGATGATCAGTTTCTTGACGGCAAAGCTGCAGGCTCTATGGTTTCCTTCTGCTCTGAAACATTCTTCCTAATCCCCTAAACTCCGTAATGTCTGTATCATCACCTCCACTTGCTAGGGCTGCCCTTGATGTTCACCTTTAATAGAGTTTGCTTGCATAAAACTGTTAAAAAGGAGAAGAAAAGTTTCATTGCTCTAATTTCTATCAAGCTCTTCATGCCTAGGAATGAATGGCCTTTTCCTAATCCCTGCCATGTTTTTATAGGGACATTTTTCCCAGCTGTGTGACACCTTGATTGCCCACAGGAGAGAGTTATTATATAAAGTAAGATGAGAGAACAAAGATTTAGTTTCTGGCATGAATCTTTAACCTGTTGAACGAGATCCCTTTGCATTCACCTAGCAAATAAATAACTGGCCTCCATCAGGGAAACCTCTGATAGATGAGCTCCTTCCAACAGGGAACCCTCCCCATGACAGTACTTGCTATATGGGTTATACTTCCCTGTACATATTGAATTCTGCTGGTAAGAAGTTATTATACATTGTTTGAGATTGTTGCCTAATCAGCATTTAGGCCAGAAAAAGATCAAAAGGAAGAGTGTTCTTTAAGGAAGAAGGTATCAGATATGGCAGTTAAATCAGGAATCAGACGAGCACGGTGGCACACGCCTGTAATCCCAGTGACTCAGGAGGCTGAGGCAGGAGGATTGCATGTTCAGAACCAGCCTCAGCAAAAGTCAGGAATCAAGAAACTGTAGCCCACAGAGCAAATCCTACCTACCTGCCTAGTTTTGTAAAGAAAGCTTGATTAGAACACAGCCACACCCATTTGTCTCAGATTGTCTTTTGGCTACTTTCACACTATAACAGAGAGTTGAATACTTACAAAAGAAATCATGTGGCCCATAACACCTGGAATATATACTGCCTGGCCCTTCATTAAAGGAGTTTCCAACCCCCTGGTCTAGGTGATCCCAAAGTTTGCTCAGACCATTTTATCCACATTCCCTGGATCTTTTTCGGGGGGGGGGGGGTGGGGGGGGCTGGTACCAGGGATTGGACTCAGGGGCACTCAACAATTGAGCCACACCCCCATCCCTATTTTGTATTTTATTTAGAGACAGGGTCTCACTGAGTTGCTTAGTGCCTTGCTTGTGCTAAAGCTGGATTTGAACTTACGATCCTTCTGTCTCAGCCTCCCAAGTGGCTGGAATTATAGGTGTGCGCCACAATATCTGACTCCCTAGGATCTTAACCTAAGTAAATCCCCATGTTTCTTGATAGCTCCAAAATGAAACAGTTTTCTGTGAAGGAACATATTCACCAGGAAATCTTAGTGCTGCTTGCAGAACAGAAAACTAGAAGTACCGTGAAGAGGTGGCAAGCCTAGGGCCTGGGGAACCAGGCAGGTAACAGGAGCTGTGTAGGCCAAGTAGGGCTGAGTGAACTTGAGAACCTGTGCCTACTTTGGGGGCCATCACCTCTTAGTTCCTGCCTTGTAGGAGTGTGAACCCAGTGTCACCAGAATCTCTGGATTTTCAGGACCTCCTGGAAATCTGTTTTGTGTAATCTCTTAATATTTAAATATGATTGCTGATTAAATTTAAAATAAGGGACTGAGGGGCTCAGTGATGGGGCATGTGCTTAGCATACACAAGCTCTGAGTTCAATCCACAGCACCAGGTTTAAAAAAAATTTTTTTAAATAGCAAGGCAATCACACACAAACCTACACTTGGAAGTTTGCAGCAGCTTTATTCATATTTGCCAAAACCTGGACGCTAATAAGATATCCTTCAGCAGGTAAATGAGGAATAAAATATGGTCCATCCAGACAACTGAATATTATTTAGCTCTAAAAAGGAATGTGCATAAGCCACATAAAGATACAGAGGGACCTCAGATGCATATTACTAAATGAAAGAAGCCTGTCTGAAAAGGCTACACACTGTGTGATTCTGACAATATGACATTTTGGAAAAGTCAAAACTCCAGAGACAGTGAAAAGATCACTGGTTGCCAGGGGCTGAGAGAGGGAGGGATGAATAGACAGAGACCAGAGGATTTTTAGGGGAATGATACTTACCCTATCCTTTATGATACTATAATGGTGGGTATCTGTCATTATACCCTCATCCAAACCTACAGGATACACAAAGAGTGTATATAACACAAAAAGTGAACCCCATGTAAACTGTGGAGTTTGAGAGATAATGATGTTTTGGTGTAGGTTCATCAGTTTTAACAAAGATGCCACTCTGGTGCAGAATGTTGATGACAAGGGATGCAGGACCGGGCGATGGGAGGGACAGCAGGTACATGGGAACTTTCTGTACTTAACACTTACTTTTGCTAATAACCTAAAACTGCCTTTAAAAATAAAGTATATCTTAAAAAATAGTAGGACCAACAAGATGCATCTAAGTGTCAGATTCAACTCTCACCCACCAGTTTATAATTTCTGCTATGGACTCAACTTAGAAGTCAGGCCAAGATCCAGCCAAGGTGGCAGTCAGACAAGTGGCTGTATATCAGAGTGGCATGACAGGGGATGCCAGAGCATGCAGCCATCACAGCACCAGGAAGCCAGAACTGGCAATAGGGATGTGAATGGGAAGTAGCTGATGTCACAGGCCTTGCAGTGTCTTCTGGGCTTGAGCCTAGACCTAAAGGCCTGGCCTCTGGGGATGGTTGACTAGGCAGATGAGCTAGGGAACTAACCAGATGATTAGGATTCACACTCATTCTGACAGAGAGACCCAGTGACCAAAGTGGGCCACAAAGCAGTAGGTTGGTCTGAGGATCCCGACAGAAGCACAACCACTCGAGTTATGGTTCAGGGTCAGAGCAAGCGGACTAGCCCTCTAGACTAGTCAGGACTTTTTGGACAATACAATAAACAACCAATTCAAAATAGCTTAAGAAAAAAAACTATAAAGGAGTGAAATGGCTTATATAACTGAAATGCCCCGTGGCAGAGCTGGCTTAGGGCAGCTTAGGCGCCCATTAGTCTATTAGGAGTTTGTATCTTCCCGTGTCTTCACCTTCCCCTGTCTGCTATGTGTCTGTTTCCATGTAGGCTGGCTGCACATGGTGAGCCAGGGGCTCCAGGATTACGGTATCTCATAGTTAGCATTCCCACTGGAGGAAGACTTGTCTTCCCTCGAGGTCTCCATAAAATCCCCAGGATTGACTCTTAGTGAACTAATTTGGGTCATACACCCACTCAGAGTAGTAGTACTTGCTTTTTTAATCAGGCCTGGGACCCTTGGACAACCTTCTTAGATTGTCTATGAATGAAAAAGAAATAGAGGTGTAAAGAAAAAAATCAAAGGGCCATTAATAGAGAGATGGTAAGTAGCATGTAGAAACAATAGTATTCCACTATACCAAGTTACCCAGTTTAGCAAGAGCTATTAAAATTCCCTTCTCTTTGTCTCCCATGTCAAGGTCAGGGAAAAGATAGAGAGATTCTAGAATATCAGGCAAGTCATTTCAAAGATGCCCTCATTTATAGTAAACTCTCATAAATATTGAAGATTGATGATGGAGGATGGCTCTGTCTCAATGGGAATTGTCAGATGAACAGATCAAAAGGAGAAGGAAGCTCTAGAACTTGTGATTCACGTTAAATATGTCACATTTTAGGTGGGATATAAGTGAAACATTAATACAGTATATAACAATTCTTTGGGCTGAAATCAAGTCTCCCATCTTAAATTAAGAAGATTAATTAGTTAATGTTTATAAAGTACTGTGCAGATATGCCCTTTTAAAATGCTAAGTGTTCTAAAAACTACACTATAGCATTTTACTAAATGTAAAAGATCTAACGTTCACCATTTCTTTGGCATAGGTTGGCAAGGATTCTTTTGGCAATGATTATATAGAAAACTTAAAACAGAATGATATTTCTACAGGTAAATTTTCATCTTTTTTAAAAGTGAATTTTTATAAGTTTCTTCTGTGATCTTGTTTCAATAAAATTGAACATGGAATAGAATTATTACATCCTCCTCTGGTGGCCATAGAATTTGTATGCACAGCTTTGTCTGGTCTTATTTAAATGTCTCCTGGTTCTTTAATGTACATTCCTCCAGACAGGAATCAGGTGGGAGGTTATGAACCTTCATCTCATGGACAAATGACAAGGAAAACCAAGTGATAAGTTCACAAAAGATATTTTAAGAAAAGTGTTATTGTTAAAGCTGAAACCGATCACAGATATCATCAAGGCTGAACCGTGATCACAGAAGGGAAAAATGGAAGGTCAGAAAGGTTCTCTGGCTTTTCAAGAGCATGCAGCAAGTTGGAACTAGAGCCAGATCTAGAATGGAGGTCTTTTGTTTCCAGTTCTGAGCTCTTTCCTACTGCCAGAGGCTGCCTGATCAACATTTATGTTTACATGCCAGACCACAATTCTTGACCAGATGAAAGCTTATGAGAATGAAGAAAATAAAACAAGTTCATTTTATATGTTCGACCTTTTGGTTTTTTATCTCAAGTCTGTCGTTTTTTCAGTGAAGAAAAGAAATGTGTTGATCTAGAAAAATGCATATGTATACAATTATGAGTAATTTGGGGAACTGGAAGTGGGGCTGGTTTGATAGGTTGTTATTAATGCACAGAAAAGGTGCTGCTAAATGTAAAGATGTCTATTTTCCTCATTGTATAGGTGATGGGTATAAATTAGCACTAGTTACTTATTTTTTAACTCATTCCAGATGGTTAAAGGTTAAAAAGTTTTTTTCGAGGATTAGTGTTGCATTGAAATTGTTAAAATAAGTTATCCATGCCAGGCTGTATGTACGTGATTGTAATTTTCTTTTTCTTTTCTTGTAGAATTTACATATCAGACTAAAGATGCTGCTACAGGAGCTGCTTCTATAATTGTCAATGATGAAGGTATGTGTTTCGCATATTAGAGCGTCATTTCCTAAAACGGATAGTTCATCTCCAGAGCTAGATTGGAAGCACTCACTGCTTCCAGTCCTATGGACCTCTTACCCACCCACCATTTCACAGCCTAATGTGAATTTTCCAATCCAAATATGTTTTCCTTTTTATACTCCCCATATTGATTGCTTAAATATGTCATTACTCATCTGACACATACGAAGCATTATAATTCCCCCAAATATTTGTATTCTGTTATGTTCCCATCATCCTTCATGTGAACTCAGAATTGACATTTGTCTCTAAAAGCAGTCAAGTATTCATCTGTTATTTCCGTTACACTCAGTAAGTAAATGTAAATAGGTGCAAAAGAAAGTTTGCTGGATCATATTTATAGAATCTTCACTGAGTAAATGGCAGCAACTAATCACTTCTAACTTATCGTTAGTGTTCAATTTTGTCTGCTCTTTAAACAGCAATCAGATTTCAAAAGTCTATACAAGTAAGTGCACCTCGAGGCTTTACCACAATTAAAACATTAATCTTTAAAAACAGTGACTACCAAAAAAAAAGTGATTGCCTTCAAGTTAGGTTTTCATAATTTCTGCCAACTGTTTTAAGTATAAAAACACCTACACAGATTTTTTAAAAAGACCAAGCATTTCATGGGCACCTAGGACAGACCTAGTTAGACATTATAGGCAGTCAGTGTGTTTTGTGTTAGATTAGGATTTATCAAGATATTTCTTTATTTGCACAGCACCCCCCTTTATCTGTGGGGGAATACATTTCAAGACACCCAGTGGATTCCTGAAACTGTGGGTAGTACTGAGCCCGATATAAACCATGTTTTTTTTCTTATACATATATGCCAATGATAAAATTTATTTTATAAATTAGGACCAGCAAGAGATGAACAAGAATAACTAAAAATAACAGAGATTGTATAACAATTTTCTATGATAAAATTGATATGAATGTAGTCTCTCTATTTCAAAATCTTATGTGCTATACTCACCCCTTGGGTGATGATGTGGATGACACAGTGCCTGTGTGATAAGACAAAGTGAGATGAATGACGTAGGCATTGTAGCTTTAGGCTACTGTGTAAAGGTTATTTGACCACTGCAAGGTCTCAACAATTGATAGGAAAATCAAACACTACCCTGGTGGGTAGTATGTATGGGCAAGACACTGGACAAAGGGATGATCCACATCCCAGATGGGCTGGAGCCCGGTGAAATAGGGTTTCGTTATGCTACTCAGAATAACATGCAATTTAAAACCTATGAATTGTTTATTTCTGGAATTTTGTATTTAATATATTTGGACCATGTTTGATCACAGTAACTGAAACCATGCAAAGTAAAACCACAGAGAAAAGGGGACTAATGTGACGCAGTTTTACAATATCACTTTGCATAGAAGGTGTGGGATTTTTAACTCAAGTGATCCTAGAGCTTCAATAATTTTTAAAATTCCATTTAAAGACAGTAGATCAAAGTTTTCACTCAAACAATAGAAAGTCTGTGTTCATTACTTTAAGCTATCTCTTAAGTAATTATTGCTGCCAACATCAGCTCATTCCTTGTCTTAAACCTTTTATTTTGTTCCAGGGATAGCTTCAAGTTTTCTTTTCTTTACCTGTGAAACAAAACCTGCATTTTCCATGCAGAGGTATAATTTCACATTATGTATCAGTGCCTATTATGGTAGACTTTGCCTGGTTCTTAGGGTGGCAGTGCCTTTAAGAGTAGGGACTGCAAGGGCTGGGGCAGGGGCTCAGTGGTAGGGCGCTTGCCTTGCACGTGTGAGGCACTAGGTTCAATTCTCAGCACCACATAAAAATAAAATAAAGATATTGTGTCTACCTAAAACTAAAAAATAAACATTAAAAAAATCATCAACAATGAATAAAAATGTTTAAAAAAAAAAAAAAGAGTAGGGACTGCAGAAGACCTAGGACAAATGCAAAAATGGGACACTTGGTTCCTTTCGTCGAGAGATTGAGTACGCAAGATAAAATCCTGAGTTGCATTTTGAAAGTTCAACTTGAGGGATGAAAGAGTGAGCCACAAAATAGACAGCTGTAGTCTTGAGCTTGTTGCTCAGTAGCTAAGGCCAGTCCTGAAATGCAGATTTGGAGGTCAGAACACAGAGGCTACAGTTGCCTCCAACAGAGAGAATGAGGCCAGTGCAGGAAGCAGAGATGCTGTCTTTCAGCAAGTGGGTACTTTGAATTTTTTCCAGGACCGAGGTTGGGTTTGTGCTAAACCATCCCCACTTTATTAAGTCCTCCTCCTCCTGGCCAACAAACACATCTGTGGTAAGATGATAGGCTAGAATTTGTTCTGTGCTGAGAGGTAATTTTAGGTCATGTCTATACAAGATCATCACGAGCAGCCTGGAGCACAAAAAATGCCTGTTGCAACGCATTCCCCTAGATCAGTGCCGTCCAACAAAAAGAAGATGCAGGCCACAGGGGGGATTTTAAATTGTCCAGGAGCCACATTTTAAAAAGTTAAAAAAAAAAACAGGTAAACTTAATTTTGACACTGTTTACTTAGCCACAAAATCCAAAATATTACCATTTCAAAATGTATTCAAAAGTGTCATTTGAAATTTAAAACCTTTTTAATGTTTTAAAAGTTGAGATTTTTACCTCCTTTTCTCAGTACTGTCTGAAATCCACTGTGTGTATTTTTTACTTAAAGCACAGTTTCAATTGAGACTAGCCACATTCCAAGTGTTTAATGGCCACATGTGCTACTGTAATACTGTGTTGGAGAACACAGCTCTTAAGAGTTCACCTGAGAGAAATGCACCACTGCCCCTCCACCATGTTGGGGGATTACAGAGAGTGGGCCCAGGTGATAGGAATGTATCAATTCCTTGGTCCTGTCGCCTCAATTTGTTCTGGTATAGCATAGGCTAGATAGTCTTCTATCTGGTACAATTTTCTGTCTGCTAGATAGAATAAAATGTGTTTGGATTGACAGAATTACCTCTTAGAATACCATTGGGTTCATACATCAACTATTTTTTCGTACAATAGAGCATTAGTTTTAAGCTTATACAAGTTTATTCCTATTTTACTCATCTATATGGCATCTGTCATTTATAATTCAGAATCTTTGTCATATATATTTATTAGCATTTCCCATTAAGTAAATTTTTAAGTATGTTTTATAAAATGTATTAACTAGCATTCTTTATACATAGGAATATTAATAAGGGAAACCTTTTAAAAATTTTGTTCAAAGTAATCAGAATAAGCCAGGCCTGGTAGCACACACTTGTAGTCCCTGCTATTCAGGAGGCCAAGGGAGGAGGATGGCTTAAGCCCAGGAGTTCAAGGCCAATCTAGAAAACATAGCAAAACTGTGTCTCCTAAAAAAAGTAATCTGAATAATGTGAGTCTCAAGAGACATTCTAAAAGATACATTTGAAACGCAAAATTTAACCGGAATGTCCTGAAAATGTCAAAATTAATACTTACAATACATTTTGTATAATAACTTTATAAAGATGATTGTAACATTGCAGAATATCATTGCTTGGCTTTGCTTGGTTTTAATATAAATATGTAGGATTTCTTTATAGGCCAGAATATCATCGTCATAGTGGCAGGAGCAAATTTACTTCTGAATACTGAAGACCTGAAGGAAGCAGCCAGTGTCATTAGCCAAGCCAAAGTCATGATCTGCCAGCTAGAAATAACTCCAGCAACTTCTTTGGAAGCTCTGACAATGGCCCATAGCAATGGAGGTAATTTTACATATTTGTCACTCTTTCTTTAAAAGCTTTTATCGCTGTCTTAATTAAAGTTAACCTTTTAAGTTAAGCAAAGCAATACTTTTTCTGTAGTAAAATATTCGTTCCTCCATCTGTGAGATTCACTGTCTTTAGTTCTTGATAATGTTAGAAAGACTTACAAATAGGGCAGAAGCAACATGAGGAACATCTCCAACATCCCACAGTATAATCTGCAGTCTTGTTAGCAGAATGATACAGGGACTAATTAATCTCTGAAGGAGCATTGGCTAAGGTACACCCTGAGGAGTGAGGAGCAGCGGTTAAGCTGTCTATCATGTCAAGTCACTGAGGAGCAGCAGTTAAGCTGTCTGTCATGTCCAGTCACTACCCAGTTACACTTTAATAAACCTCAAAAGGAATCAAAGATTTTTTCTTTCTCCTTTTTGTAAAACTATCATTTTCTCAATAAGCAACCAAAGATTATTTGTATGTAATGTTTTCTATGTTGTCAATGTGTATAAAGCAGCTGTTTTCTTTGATCTTTGATTCGGAAATGGTTAAACCTACCAAAAAAGGCAAAGCTGCATAATGAAACCAGTCACCCAACAGTTATCAACCTAAGGTTAATTTTATTTCATCTTTTCTCCCACCCACTCCTCTTCCTCTGGAAAATAACAAACAGGTTTTTTATACTTCCTCCTCCCTTTTCTCCACTGCCTATGAGAAGAGCATCTTCTGAGATAGAATCCCATTTCTGTCCCTGTAAGCTTTGTGGTCTTAGCAGAATTTGCTGCTTTTTCTGAACTGGTCTGTAAAATGCAAATGGAAATATGCCTACAGGATTATTCTAAGAATGGAATAAAATTAAATGTGATGCCAACCATGGGATGGTACAAGCCAACAAATCCCAGTTTTCTTCTCTCCATTCACTTCTCTCTTTACATTAAAAATTAAGATAATATCCTGATCTAGCACTATTTGGTCAAAAAAATCAAAATAAAAAGTAGCCAATCTAAGACAGTGGCTTCAGTTTGATGTGGTGACATTATTTCTTTGATTTATAATAAGAATAAAATAGAGATTCACATTGACTTTCCCAGATAAGACTTTCTCAGCAAGATAAAAAAACTAAAAGAAGAACTGTGTGTGTGTGTGTTCGTGTGTGTGTGTGTGTGTGGTGTTCTATATAGCAATAAATGGAAAATAAACCACTGAAATGATTTTGTGAAGAAAGTATATGTCCTGATTTAACAAATTTTCCTCTTGGCAAAACAATGTGCCGTGGCAAATTCTCACTGACATTTACTGTATTTTTAATGGACTGGAAGCTGTCAGAAAGAATTCTAAGCCAAAACCCGTTTGGTTGCATTTTCTGGAAGTGTCACAAATAAAGGCTAATGCTCCTGGTAGGCATTCTCTGCACTGCGCTCCTCTCAGGAGATGTGAATCCAGTGTGCCCTTCACCCTGCTCCTGTTTCTGGGTAGATCAAAACATATTCTCAAGTAACTTCTCTTTCTTTTCCACTGTCCCATGTCTCTCACTGTTTCCTCTGTCCTAGTTGAATTCCTGTTGCCCACCCATCTTGTGGAGGAGAGGAAGGTACAGCCACAGTGAGCTTACCTCTCACAGGTGAGGCTAGAGTAACCCTCTTGGGCAGGCAGCCTAACCTCAGGCTGTCACTGGGTGGGATCCAGAAATGCTTCCTCTGTCACCTGCCATGCAGCTGTTCCATCTGAGGAGCTGGAAGTCCTGGGACATTAGGAAGAGGGATAGGTTAAAGTGGGCTATGACCACCCAGCCTATTTCACACTTTGGCTAAGAGCCAGTGTGCCTAAGTATTACACCTACATGATCTTTCCCGTATAGTAGTCCCTTCTTAACTGGGGCAAATACATTCCAAGATTCGCAGTAAGATGTCTGAAACCTTAGGTAGTACCAAGCTCTATCATGTAATCTTTTCCATCCTAAGCACTCATCACATATTATGACCAAACCTTTTGCAGTTTGAGAGACATAAAAGCAAAACCTGTGGTAATTTCTCTTCCCTTCTTCTCAGTTTTATGGATAGAAGATTCATTCTTGCTGTAGAGCTTAGCGATCTTAGCATAAAAATTTTTCTTTCCTTATTATCTCAAGAACTTTCACCTTTTCACCTAAAGGAACCACTTTATAAGTTCTATTTGGCAAATATCAAGTTACCTCATCACTACTCTTACACTTTAGAGCCCTTATTAAGTAAAAAAAGGGTTCCTTGAACAGTATAGTACCATGAGACCACAGCAGTTAATTCGATAACCAAGATGGCTCCTAAATGACTAACTTGCAGGTGATACAGTGTGGGGAGGCTGGACAGAGGAACAATTCACATTCCCAGTGGGGTGCAGTAGAATGATGTGAGATTTCATCACGACTCAAAATGGTATACAATTTAAAATTTATGAATTGCTTATTTCTGGAATTTTCCATTTAATAGTTTTAGACCCTGATTGACCTTGAGTAAAACTGTGGACAGCAAAACCACAGATGGCTGTGGGGGGGGGGGGGGGTGATTGTGTAATAATATTGGAAGTAGTAATACCTTGCATTTAAATGTACTTTATACCTTATAAGGTTCTTTCTTGCCCATTTGATCTTCAGAAAAACCTTATGACAGAAATTTGGCAGCCATTGTTCTCTCAGGATTAAAGGTGAAGAGACTGAGACTCAAAGAGGCTTAGGAAGTTGTACAACCAACATCACACTTTTAGTATGTGTGGAAATAGAATTTCAGACTATAAGACCCAAGTTCTGTCTCCTAGACCACACTTTAAAAAGAAAGTGCCACACGCCATTGACTTTAAGGAACTAAGCCATTATGAAGAATTTTCTCTAGAAGAGTAAAATCCATACATTTTAATACTGTCCAGTGCACAGCCTAAGTATGGAAAGTGTTTGCTATTTTTGTGAAGAGCACACATACAAGTTTACGACAACAAATCCCATGATTATGTACAACTCTAATGCACCAATTTTTTTAAAGTGTGGAAAAAAATAAAGAAAATTAAAAAAAAAAACAAACAGTGAAGAAGCCCTAGAGCTTCATCAATGCATTGCCACACACTGCAGTACAGCACACACACACAAGCACTCTGCCGAATCGGGCACCTTTCTCTGACCAAGTCAGTTGGTCACTGTTTGGTAGATAACAGCCAAGTGCACCTTAGATTCTACACTATGAATGGGGTGTGTGTGCGTGTACATGTGTGTATGCATGTTTATTTAGCATGTGTGTGCACTTAGTCTGTGGTATAGTAAAAGGAGAGTGATGGTTTGGTAATTCATGTAGAATGGTTTTTAATTCAGAATCAATCACAAGCAAATAGGGAACCTCAATCAAGAAAGCAACTTCTTGCCCAGAGTTTCCAGTTCTTCTTCTGTGAAACAAGAGAACTGGACTGAGAGTTCTCAATTCATTGATGTCACCATGGACTCATCACAGAGCAAAGTAGGCAAAGTTAATCATCTGCCGAGCTCTGAGTGTCTTGCCCAGGGCATATGTGCTGATCAGCATTATGCCACCTCAAGAAAGATGGTAAAGTTCTCATTGTCATAGTCTGACTTTATTGTCATAGCATCACTGCTTCCAAGAATTAAAATTTGAATTATATACCTTGTATGACTAGATTATCTATCAATTATTAAAATACAAAGTAGTGGCGGGGTCATGGCTCAGTGGTAGAGCACTTGTCTAGCACATGTGAGGCACTGGGTTCGATTCTCAGTACCACATAAAAATAAAAAAATAAAATAAAGGTATTGTGTTCATCTACAACTGAAAATATTCTTTAAAAAATACAAAGGAAATGTTCCCTCCATCTTTGAATATTCTGTCTGAAAACTCTCTCCTGTCTTCACCACAGCATCACCTACAACATCAAAAAAATCGGTACCCCTGAATAGCACCCATCCCCGCAAGGTCACAGTGCAGTGAGGGGGGCCACTGCAGAGCTGCTTGTGATGAAATTATGCATGTTGGTTCTGGTCTTTATATCCATTTCAAAGCAAATGGAACATTACAGGAACAATTATACATAATTGAAATTGTAAGATCGCCAAGATTAAATCCTAGGTATGATACAGTGTATCTTTTAATGCGACTTTAGTCCTTTTCCATTTGGCAAACACAACTCCTTGGCTGGCCACCTAGACTTTCACAATAACATTGTCCAGCACACGGCTCAAGTTTGGAGAGATTTTGCTACTCAAGTTGCAAAAAAAGAGATAACCAAGCCCATGTTTTGGGAATCCCAGCCTTCTAGTGGTTTCTTTGATTAGGGTGATTTTTATACCCATTTCTCTGAACTACTTCTTAGAGCCATCAACTGTCCAACCCTACACCTTCACCTACCCCACCCCCCAAAACCAATAATAGATTCCGCCTTGTTACCCTGCCTTTTAGCCTACCAACTGCTCCTCCGGGCCTCACCTCTTCCTTGTTGACATTGCTGTGTCAGCCATTGACATGTGGCCAAGATAACCAGGAGTTTAGTCCATCTTACATTGTAATGAATAATAATTATTGTAGGATGCTGTCAGTCACCTCTGCAGCTCCAGGTCACTCCATGATACAGTGTGTGTTCTCTAGTTCTGCCTAGTCCCAGAATGACATCATCTTTTCTATCTTGTCTTACAAATTTGCATTCCTCTTTGATTAACTTCACGTCTACTGATTCTTCATGCTTCGTCATCATAGTAAAGTATTTCTGCTCATTTATAGAAGCAGGAGCCAAGAGGAGTCTTTTTTAATGGTATCTCCACTTTTCCCCTAAATTTAGTTACTCTAAACTGTGTATCAGACTATAAGCACGTGTATCCAGTTACTATGGGTAAGAATGCTGTCCCTCGGTAAAATACAAGCAAATAAGATGTGATCAATTTTTATACATATTTATGGACAATTATAAAGTTCTTTATTCCAGCTATTGATACTTAAATTCATTGTAATCATTGTTTAAAATCTGTGGGTATGGTA